ACCCAGTGAGACAGGGACATATCATTTTTTATTAAAAGTTGCCTTACATAAAGTTTGTTCAAGCTTCTATAACTATTGAATATCAAAATCATCTTGATTAGTGCGTACGTATGTCATCTCTTTGTACTAGTCTCGTCTCATTCGTTCTTCTGGTTTTTTATTTATATTCACTTACACACTAATTAGAAATAGTATTTTATTTTAATTTTTACATTATATAGCAAACGAGCAAGCGGTCACCTGAAACCGAAATAGCAAAGCGATCGCTGGCAACAGACATCCGCAATTGCAGATGCGTTACCTACCCTTAATCGACGGAGGACATGCAAGAGGACATTTCTTTTTCCTATACGTCTCCTTCAAGGTCAAATCCACTTTCCCTTCCTATTCTTAAGTATATGGTGGGAAGGAAAAGAGACTAAAATTAGGCCAAATAAACATCAATTGTATTCAATGGCTGTATGTGATTGTATAGCTGTATGGTTGTGTTGTTTTGTGTTGTCAGGTGGCGCAGTCTAACAAGGCGCTGAACATCTGTGAGGTGGAGCAGTGGCGGCGCGAGCACATGGCGGCGGCGGCGGCGGGGGCGGGGGCGGGGGCGGACGACGCGCGCAGCGTGCGCACCCTGCTCTGCATGCCCATCGTCAACGCCAACAAGGACGTCATCGGCGTCGCGCAGCTCATCAACAAGGTCACTGGCAATACTAAACACATCCCATCTACACTAATATAATAAAGCGTAAACACACACTTCTTTGTTGCCTAAGATGTCAGCAATCACAGCATATTTTTGAATAACTCTTTTTCTAATAAAAAGCCATACACTTACGTCGCGCTTTAGGCTATATATTTTCACGCCGTTAAACTTAGGGATAAATATTTTGGATAAAAACCTTAATGTGGAAAAGAGACCATAAGTTGTTGCCGACATCAAGGTAGCATGTTTGCTATGGTTTAACATCATGTCATTTTTGACATTTGCAATTGATAACTTAACAAATGTGAACAATGAAATGATTTTTTTTTAATTTTATGCGGATGAAGTCGCATGGGAACAGCTAGTATTCTATACTTGGATTATTCCCAACCGTTACCCCGGTCTGTCCCCACGTGGGGACATATGAGATAAGTTTCATCCATCCCACCTTTTAGTCCCACTATCACCAATAACGTGACAGATGGAACCTTTAAGAAATAAAACAAGTTCCAACCGTCCTATCGTCACAAAATGTGGGATGGATGAAAAAAGCGGGTGGAGTTTTCGAGCTGTCATAAAGTTTGAATCTTATAATACTTTATCCTATAGATAAAATTATGTTTGTACTTAACTGAGTTTTTTTTTATTATTGTGATACACATTGATGTTTTATTGTAACTTTTGCAGGAAAACGGTTCTCAATTCACAGACGGAGATATATCTATTTTCGAAGCGTTCGCCATTTTCTGTGGCCTCGGCATACACAATACACAGATGTATGAGAACGCTTGCAAACTGATGGCCAAACAAAAGGTATGAATAAGGGCTGAAATACACGTACTAATAAAATGGAGTAACAGCTTGCAAACCAGTTTAATAAATACGTGATGAAATAGTATTCCCTTCCTTAAGTTGCGTATCCCTAGCTGTCACAAAATCAAATAAGGTGCTAACTAAATGCATGCCAGTAGCTTGCATACAAGTATGCCAGTTGTCGTGTATTCCCTTTTCAACAGTAATTATAAATCTTTACTTTTTTAATAAAATTAAAATGTCTTGCGGCATAAACCAACAGTTCTAAAATGTTGCAAGTTTCGCTGTGTAGTAAGGAAAGATTTGTATTTTTATATTTGTAATAACTCAAAAATTGCTGGATCAAGTTAAAAATTCTTTCACCGTTAGAAAGGTAATTTATCTGTGTGAAACATAGGCTATGTATTTTTAACTTTGACGCGTGCGAAGTCGCGAGCCACAACTAGTTTGTAATGAAATGAATGGTGTACTTGCAGGTGGCGCTGGAATGCCTCTCGTACCACGCGACGGCCTCCGCCGAGGACACCAACAAGCTGAGCCAAGACGTCATCCCCTCCGCGGATAGCTATAACTTGTACAGCTTTCAATTTCACGGTAACTCTACTTATCCGTTTAAATCCATATGTAAAAATTAAAAATCGTTCGACTCGAAATGTAAAATCGTTTAAGTCTATAGAAAGGATATATCCATATCATTTTTTTTACTTAACACTGACCTCTACAGTATATCTGAGGCTATAAATTATGGTATTTGATTTTCGCCACTTTTACGTTCAGGAGATGAAGAGTTTTCGAATTAGTAAGATCAATAGACTAAAACTGTTCCTAACATTAAAAGATGCATTTAAGTCGATACGAACCAAAAGCTATATTAGTATACGAGCTATTGCCCGCGACTTCGTCCGCGTGGTATTAGAAAACATACGAACTATATGAATTACAAAAAGCTACGGAACCTCAGGAACCGGACATTCTCGGGGATGAAGCTTATCCCAAGTGTACTCCAGACTTTGTTTTATATCTGTGCCAAATTTCAATAAGATATGTTAAACCGTTGCAGAATGATCGAGTGAACATTAAAAAACTAAATTAATGAATCCCACGGGAACCGTAACTATTCCCGGGATATAAAGTAGCCTATGTGTTCTTCCAGACTATGCTCTAAACCTGTGCGAAATTTCATGGAGATCCGTTCTGCCGTTTAGGCTACAAACGCTAACAAACATCCATCCATCTAAACTTTCATATTTATAATATTAGTAAGATATCTATGCTTTTTTATATTTTAGAACACGCCCAAAACTTTTGTTTAAAGTATCTGATAACTGTTATGCGATTGTCGATTGTTTCGCAGTCAACTGTTTAGTTGCACAACTGAAAATCGAGTTGCGCACCTCCATATAAGCACATAGGAATCAAAGTGCGACTAAACAGTTGTGCCATAGATTGGTCAATGGTTTTTAAAATAACTGTTTATTTGTATGTTTTCAGATTTTGATCTGTCAGACGAGGACACGTGTCGGGCGACGCTACGCATGTTCCTGCAGTGCAACTTGGTGGAGAAGTTCCATATACCGTATGATGTAAGTTATTAAATTTATCAGCCTCAGGTTTAAGCACTTGACTTTTAATTTACAGGTCTTGGGTTCGAATCCTGTACGAATGTGATTTTAGATTTTCATGTGTACATAATTTACTCATCGTTTTTAAGATAAAGGAAAGCAGCGTGATGCCTGTATATATTGAAGAAATTTAAAGATAGGTGTGAAGTCAACCCGTAGTGGGACAGGATTATGGCCTCGTCACCAACTTAGGGTAGACTCAGAGCCCCTCAGTGGGGACTTGTAGTGAGCTGGTTGATGATTTCACAGTGGTAGAGACCGCTTTAACATCTTCGCACGAATGGGCTGGCTCGC